ATAATACACTGGACTGCATGGTTGGTTTGAACCACAATGCCAGCAGTTCAAACTCACCAGCAGCTCCTCAGAAACCCTATACAGGGCTGCTATAAATTAGAACTGACTGGACAGCACTTAACAACAGCCATGTCTAGAGAGCTGAGTGTAGCTAAGAATGTGCTCTGTAAGGTAAGTGCCTAGTCCAGTTTCTGTTGTTGCCAGAATGCTGATGATAATAGTAGTAAGAATAAATGACACCCACTCCCAGACTTCACCTTTCAGCCAAGTGAACAATAACACCCATGAGGAATGTGCCCCTCAGAACAATCTACCATATGAGACCAACAAGGCAGCATTTGTCAAAAAACAAAGTTCAGAAGGCAAGAAGGAGCAGGAAAGATGGGCAAATGAAACCCTGGAACCCAGGGAGGAACTGGGAAAAACCTGCTACACTGAAAGAACTGTAACTAACATCATGAAACAAAATATGTATAAATTGTTAAATAGGAAACTAATTTGTTCTGTAAATTTTCACCAAAACCACAATGGTGGTGGTGGTGGTGGTGGTGTACGGTGGAGTCGGTTCTGACTCATAGCAACCCTGCCTAGGGTTACTGAGACTATAAATCTTTACGGGAACAGAAAACCTCATCTTTCTCCCATGAAGTGACTGGTAGATTTGAACCTTTCAGTTAGCAGCTCAGCTCATAATCCACTATGCTACCAGAGCTCCTTAAAACCACAATAAAATGGTGTTTTTTGTTTGTTGTTTTTGGTGTGGTGCTGTGGCCTAATGCGTCAGACTGCAAAGTCATTTGAACTGCAAGTTCGGTGGTTCAAGCTCACCAGTTGCTCCTCAGAAACCCTATACAGGATTGTTATGGGTTGAAATCGACTCAACAGCACTTAACAACAACAACAAAAAAGAATAAATGACAAGAACCAGTAGTTCTTCAGTGCTCTGTGTGTACCAGGGCCTATGCTGAGCATTTTATACACATTTCAAAAGTCTTCACATACAAAAAAAAAAAGTCTTCACAACCACATTACATCAAGTAGACAATATTAACCCATTTTTATAGATGAAAAAACTGAAACACAGAGATGTTTACCTTGCCCAAGGTCACACAGCAAGTAAGTCATATATCTTCCTAGAAAATGCACAATGGTCCAGTATGACATTTACTGCCATGAGTTAATCCCTAGTCAGTTGCTGTACCATAAGTGCTGTAGCACCCAAAGCCACCTTCCTCCACATGATGGTCAGCATTTGATCCATAAAGTGGGTTAACTGTTGAGCTGTTGACCACAAGGTTAGCAGTTCAAGCTCACCAACCACTCCAAGGGAGCAAGATAAGGCTAGCTGCTCTTATAGATTTTTGTTTTGTAACTTTTTATTGTGAGTTGGGACACCTGGTGTGTAGGATTAGCACTGGACTATGAACCACAAGGTCAACAGTTCAAACCCACCAGTTGGTCCCAGTTGCTCCTCAGAAACCCTATATGGGATCGCTAGGAGTTGGCACTTAACATGGTAAGTTGAGTGAAGGTTTCCAGAGCAGATTATGGGTTTTCATTTTAACAAATCATACATTTCATTTCATCTGCATTACAATCCCCCCAATATAAATTCAGTAATCCCTCTTCCTCCTTGTGTTTCTTGTTTCCATTCCTCCTTTCATTCCCCACCCTTCTGAATTTTGTCCTTAGGTGAATACTGTCCTTTTGATCTAGAAGGGTTGACCATTCTGACGTATGCATTTTTGCTGTTGTTAGTAGTGCTGTCTTGTTGGTTCTGACTCAAGGCAACCCCGTATAGGATTTCCAAGGAGCAACTGGTGGTTTTGAACCACTGACCTTATGGTTAGCAGTCCAGTGCTTATCCTACAGCACCACAGCAGGGCTTGTATTGTTGTCCCTCCTATAGACCTATCTATTGATTGGCTGAAAATTGCAGCAGAACTCTCGAAAGCCCTGCAGAGTAGTTAGTTTTATTCTGTCCTCTACGGTCAGGTCACCAGGAGTCAAAATCGACTCGATGGCAGGGCTAGCAGGGGTGAATCCATACTTAAATTGGCAACCTTGGTATGAGCAATTTCAACAACAGGATATAGTCATTCTGTTAATTGAACCAGATCTCCTAAATAGAACTGTCCCTAAACCTAAAAATAAAAAACTCACCATCTCAGAGAGTGTGCAAAACTTGAAGAAGATGAAAGTAGTTTTTATTTTAGCAGATGGAATAACTTTCTGTCTAGTGGCTGAGAAACCATTATGTCTTGTTGACAGCTATTCAAAAGACATTACATACAAGTACTTGTTCTGTCTTCCAGAAATTTCCATCTTGACAGTAGATTATTGTACTTGCCCAATAAAGCTTGTGCTATTATAATGAGCCAACACTAAGATTCACTTGAAGTGTTGTGGTTATCTGTTTAAATTTCCGTCATAAAAACAAACTTGTATCCCAGCAATAAATGGTTGTAATATAGCTGGATTATAGGAGCCACACTCTTGGATATAAACAGCAGATTCATCTTAAAAGTAGGAATCAGAATAATAACATAGGCTCATTAATCTGAAATTTTTAACAAAGGAAAAGGTCCATCAGGATATTTCTGCACTGTTCTTTTATGAGAGATATGGAGAAATATAGATGAGGCAGACCCTGGTAACAAGGTCAGCAGCTCAAGTCCACCAGCCGCTCCACAGGAGAAAGATGAGGCTTTCTGCTCCTGTAAAGATTTATAGCCTCAGAAACCCTATATAAGGTTGCTATGATGTAGAATAGTTATTCAGAAAAATAATTTTCAGCAAAAGTTGACTCAGGATAAATTTGGACCAATATTAACCATATAACAGATGTATGTGGTTTATAAGGAGTGAGTGGTAGGTTTGAACTGCTGATCTTGCAGCTCAAACTGACCTTGCAGTCCATCACATTATCCTTCAGCACCAAATTGGAAGAAGAGAAGAATGGATACACAATCTCTATCACAACACAATACTGATGATATGTGAAATTTAAAATAAACTAATGATCAAAACTATTTACAGTTAGCTAGTAAGTCCAAGCAAAATACATTGTTGTTGTTAAGTTCCTTCAAGTCGGTTGCAACTCTAAGTGACCCCGTATAGGATTTCTGAGGAGCAAGCAGCTGGTGGGCTTGAACCACCCACCTTGTGGCTCAAACTGACCTTGAGGTCCAGTGTATGATGTTGCTGTTGTTAAGTGTTGTCGAGTCAGTTCTCATAGCAACCCTGTATAGGGTTTTCGAGGAGAAGCTGATGAGCTTGAACCGCCAACCTTGCAGTTCAAACGACTTTGCAGTCTGGCACATTAATCCACAGCGCCACACCAGGACTACAAGTGAAATATGGTGGTTGGTGGTTACGTGCCATGGAGTCGGTTCCGACTCATAACGACCCTGTACAGGGTTTCCAAGGCTGTAAATGTTTACGGGAGCAGAAAGCCTCATCTTTCTCCCATGGAACAGCTGGTAGTTTCGAATTGCTGACCCTGAGGTTAGCAGCCCGATTCGTAACCACTACACAAGTGAAATATAGCATCCTGTTTTTACTTCATCACTTTATTTTGTTTCTTCATGGGAATTTATGATCTGTGAAGATGCCATCAGGTCAGTGCTGAGAAAGGTCTAGTAAGTCAAGTGACTCAGGAAACTCTGAAAAAGAGGATATTAGGAAATGGCAACAACACAGTACACATTTCATGACACACATGGGACTTCTGCAACCATTATATATAGGCCCATTTACCCAAAATTTTACAAAGGGAAAATTCAATTAGTATACTTCTGCACTATTCTTATATGAAAGATACGATAAAACATATAGACTATGTAGCATATTATTTAGGAATTTCTCATAATAACATTACTTATTAAAATAAATTCTAATTCATGAATTGATAATTGATTGTATTCATATTATTTCTAAACCAAGCCTTCTTTGACTTTTATCAAAAGGCAAGAGGCCTTATGGAAGTGCAGGAGGAAGATGGTGATACTAAACCCCCTGGGTCCAACCAGGAGAAAAAGATGTGTAAAGACAGGGATGTGACATGATCCAAGTGGGTCAGAATCATAACCAGCTCCAAATCCCTATCAGAGCCCCATCAGCGTAGTTGGGGGATAGGGTGGTTGTGTCCTCCTTGGGCATTCACTAACTTGCAAGTTAGACACTTCTTGGTTTTCATGCTGAAGTCTTTACAGGCAGCAGATCTTTTTCTAGCCCTTTCAGTTCACCTGTCTTTGTTGCTGCTCACCCCTGAGCTCTAGGGAAGTGAGGCTCTAAGCTTGTGAAAGGGTCAGAAAATACTTGGAGAAGGAATAAGAGAAGCGATCTTTCCTCCTGCATCATCTTCTATGTGCACTGACAGAGAAAGTTTTCCCCTCAATGTATATTTCTCCTTCCCTTGACTCCCACCTCACCTTCACTTCTTAGAATAATTCACCATCCAATCCCTACTCTCAGTGACTACCACCCCCATGTCTGTTTCTTTCTTTGCCAGGAAACTGAGTCCAATTACCAAGTCCTGATACGCATTCTCATCTCTCGAAGTGAGATTGACCTCCTAAGCATTCGAACTGAGTTCAAGAAGAAATTTGGGAAGTCCCTTTATTCTTCTATCCAGGTAAGACTTGACAAGCTCTTGACCTGGAGTTCCAGAGCCCTCCCCCCCTCCCACCACCACAGCACCACCCTCTCCCTGAAGCTCCTGCTTATAGCTGAGCATAGTCATGTCCTGGAGAACTCTGAAGCAGAGCTTCTAGAATCAGGAAGGATCCTTCCCTCCCAGATAAGTTAGGGACAAGTACAGTGAGGGGGCAGTGTGCTTGTTGTTAGTGCCATCGAGTGGGTTCCAACTCATAGCGACCCTGTATAGGGTTTCCGAGGAGCGACTGGTGGGCTTGAGCTGCTGACCTTGTAGCTCAAACTGCAGAACCACACCAGGACAGTGATGAGGCTTTCTGACACCTGACTCCCTTGTCTGCAGGATGTAGTAAAAGGGGATTGCAGGGCAGCCCTAATGGCCCTGTGCAGGGCTGAAGACATTTGAGACCTCATTCTCCCCTGCCTCCACATGACATTCAAGGATCTGAGGTTCCTCAGTTTGGCTGAACCTGCAGAAGACCAACTGGGCATCCAAATGGGACAATCCCTTCCCAAGCACAAGCTCCAGCTTCTTGTTTAGGCTGAACTTCACGTTTCTGTTAAATCCCTTAATCTCTCGTTCTGAAATGATGTCTGCACCTGGGTCATATGGCTGTCCTGGGTGTGGGCTAATGGAATCTCTTTGATGATTGCTGTCCCACTCATCCTTTCCATACCCCCTGGGGCCAGACCTTCTCACTGGGACTTGAATTCTTTTGGCAAACTTCACTGTAGTGTGTGTTCCCTGATTGAAGTTTGGGTGGAGCCGGACATTGGCTGGGAGGGGGCCTTGGAGTTGTAAGTGCCTTTGATGTGCACTTGGATGTTCACAAGGAATCCTGTTTGGGCCCACTGCAGTAGTTTTCAATGCCACACACCACTACCACCACACTTTGTTTCTCCCCCCAACCTCCATTATTCTCCCTTCCTCAGGAAATTTCAGACAAAATAACTGAGAAGCAGACGCCAAGACATGGTCAGAAATGTGTATAAATGGTTAAAATGAATGGGAGGTCCAAAGTTGCAAAGAACAAACTGTATAAACTGGGAAGCAGAAAGCCAGGCTGCCCTCTCCAGTCTGGAAAGTCTTGTGTTAACAGGTAACACAACCCCAAGTTCATCTGTTCAAAGTCGGGACTTGAAAATACACCTCTCAAATTAGAGCACTATTTCCCATAGAAGGAGTCCTGGTGGCACAATGGTTAAGTGCTTAGCTGCTAGCTAAAAGGTCAGCAGTTGGAACCTACCAGCTGCTCTGTAGGAGAGAACACCTAGTCATGTGCTTCTGTAAATATTACAGTCTTGGAAACCCTATGGGGGCAGTTCTACTGTACCCTATAGGGTCACTTGGAGACAGTATAAAACCAACCACACATAGCAACAACACATTTCCCATAGAAGATCTATCAAAAACAGAGAAACAAGAAACCAGTGGTGTTGGAACAGGGGTAGGGGTTGAAGCGGGGTGGACTGTGGGTGGGAAGACTGGCTTTGGCTCCCCCTGCTGGCTTTACTAGGAATGACAGGCAACCCATCACATCTGTTTGCATTCCTCTAAAATCAAAAACACCCCATGCTGGACAAGTCTGGTCAAGTCAATTTTGACTCAGAGTGATCCTGGAAGACAGAGTAGAACTGCCTTATTGGGTTTCCGGAAGCAGACTGCCACATCTTTTGCCTGGTGTTCAAACAGCTGACCTTTCGGTTAGCAGCTGTGAGTCACCAGATCTCCTTTTGCATTCCTTAGTTGGGTCAAATACTTAATCCCATTCCTGTAGAGTAAAGCAAACAACAGATTTCAGGAAAGAATTTTTATTTCCAAACCCCTAGGAAGGCATTACAAATAAAGGAGATAGAAACCCAAACCAAACTCTGAACCAAACGGAGGCAGGCCTATTGGACAGCCAGGAGGATCCAGCTCCTCAGGGATGGGAAGTAGGGGAGTACATCTAGACAGGGACCTTACCCTGGAGCCTGAGTCTACATAGTAGTGTGACTATTCTGGAGAGAGGGAGTTGGAGTTCAGAAATCCTCACCCCACTAACCCCAATGTTGCCCTGCATGGTTGGAGGGAAGAGAGGGCAGCAGCATGTGAGGGCAAGGACTTGACCGAGTCTGACCTTGGCATTTACCGCCTGCTCTGGTCCCCACAGTCCATAAATAAATCACCCCACCCCGCATAGCTCAGGGACTGAGGTGGGCAAACAAGCAATAGAGCCAGTAAGAAGCTCAGAAAGAAGGGGCAGGTTAGCTTGGCAGAGGGGCCAAGCTACAGGAGAACACAGTCTGACTCTTGCTTTGGCCTCTGCCGACGCTCTCCAGCTGGCCGTCCAGACGTGGCTCCTCTTCCCTGTATCAGATTTAACAAATAGTCTTCCATTAACCCTGGAAGAGGATGAAGATCCTCAAGGGGGATGGAGAGACTAGGATTAAGTGGGATGGTAGGAAGAAGGGCCCTGAAGGAACTATGAAGAGACAATTGCAGGAACAGGTGTCCTGAACCAGGGAAGCATGGGCTGGAATACTGGGGACAAGGAGCAGACCTGAGGAGTGCTGCTAAGGGATAGGCCCAGCACAGCAGATTCACCTGTGGCGATGGGGCTTGAGTCTGCGCAGGCTGGACCACTTCCTGCTGCTGCTGCTGCTGATACTCCTCTTCCTGAAGTTGCTGGGCCAGTTCCAAGTCACTGAGACCCAAGGTGCCTTGTGGCTGCTGCTGCTGCTGCAGTGACAAAGCAATCAGGTAGTCCTAGAAGAGGGCAAGGCAGGAAGATAAGAATTGTAAGATAGGCTGAAGCCTGGAGGATACTCAAGGTGGGTTTCCAATCAGTCATTCTCCATTCTTCAAATTCTCCAGCTGTTTCTCCCTCCAGAGCAAAACACAGAGCCAAGTGTATTATCTATGCTGTTGCTGTTGTGGTTGTTGTTGTGTGCCGTGGAGTCGGTTCCGACTCATAGTGACCCTACACAGGGTTTCCGAGGCTGTAAATCTTTATGGGAACAGAACCGCTGGTAGTTTCGACAGCTGACCTTACAGCTCGCAGCCCGATTCGTAACCACTACACTACCAGAGCTCCCTGTTGCTAAGTGCCTTAAAGTCAGTTCCTACTCATAGTGACCCTAAATGGGGTTTCAGAAGAGCAACTGGTGAGCTTGAACTGCCGACCTTGCAGTTCAAACCAACATTGCAGTTCAGCACATTAACCCACAGCGCCACATCAGGACTCAGTATTATCTTTGGTGCCTGAGAATACACAGCAAGCAAGGAAATGATCAGAAGGTACCAGAAGAGTGGAGAGGACATGGATGAGAAGTGGTTTTTAGATGACAAAATGCATGCTGATTGCCGATGGCAAAAGGCTTGTTGTTGTTGGCCAAAGGAACCTCTTTTGCACTTTCCCCACGCACCTGGTCTACCTGCCGCTGCTTTTCTGGGGAGCCACTCCCACCTTCTGCTCCGGATGCTTTGACCAGGGAATGACTTAGATGAAAATCAGAGTCACAAAAGCAGCTGTCTCCATCCACATTGTGCAGGCTCTCCCATACCACTTGTTCCTCCTGGAGAAAGCCCTGGTCAGTGACCAGGAGGTACAGGTGGCTCTGCAAAGAAGAACACAGAGCTAACTGGTGGACAGGTGACACACAGGCAGTTTCGGGCCAGAACTCATCTGAGCTGCAGTATTAGAGACCATTTGAATCGACTGGTGTGCAAGTTAGATATCAGTGTGAGCATCTATGGATCTTTTCTAAATGTATGTGGCTGTGGATAGAGAAAGGGGTATCTGAGTCTGTGTCCAGCTGGATAGGAATGTGATGGTCAAAAGTGTAGAATCCTCAGGGCTGGTGCTATACAAGTTTCTGCTTCTCACTCTACTTCCCATGGTTCTCTGGGCTCACTTGACTATATGAGGATAAATCCCAAGAACCAAAGACCTCTCCCTCGTCTACTCAATGCTCTAATAGCAGCCCTGTGTAGGGTATCCAAGGAATAACTGGTGAGTTTGAACTGCTGACTTTGTTTGAACCACCTTGTGTTCCAGTACTTTATCGTACAGTGCCACACCAGGACTCTTCCTGGACAGCTTAATCAGTTTCTAACTTTGGAAGACTGTTTTGTTATTTTTAAGTACCGTCGAGTCAGTTCTGACTCAGATCCACCCTTTACAGGGTTTCCCAGAAGCAGCTGGTAAGTTTGAACTACTGACCTGAGGCCCAGTGTATATCCTACAGTGCCACACCAGGACTATAGTATTGTTTTGTGTGTGTTTTTTTTTAAATCAACTCCTGTCGCACCAGAGCACCCAAAGTTGCAGATAGTACTCATTTGACCTAGCCTTGATGGCTTGATAATCAGAATTTGACTAGAGGAAGAGTTAAAAAAAAGAAAGAACAAAACAAATTTTCATAAAGGAAATGAGGGTAAATTGCTACAATTTGATGAACCTGACTTATACTCATGGAGGTAGTAACTCTAAATACCAACAGAGAGGGAAGGAGTCTTCACATCAAGTATCAATGCTATCCCCTCTGTACACAGGGTAGATAGGGACGGGCAACTCAGACATTGGCTACCTAAAATGAGGGGGCGATAAGGGCGCAAAGTTACTGGTTTACAAGGTTTCAAGGGGGAGCTTAGTTTAATAGTGTGTGGGGAAAGAAAGAGTCCCCACTGAATAGTTTTCATCTTGTCTAGATGGGTCTAGTTAAAAGAGATGGGGATAAGATTGTTATGATTCAATAATGAGTAATTGTTATCATGACTAATTGCGACTCTCTCAATTATAAAGGTAGTTTTGTAACAAAACCAGGGGAGTGGTTAATCTTACAGTCCAGAAACAAAGGACCCTAGGATCATCAAGGGAGAAGTGCACAAGCAGAATGCAGGACCTTATCCAGAGAAGCAGCAACATCAGATATGGAGGCAGAAATGGGGGCATGGAGAGAGGGAACAGCTGAGTACTCTAGATTCATGGGAAGTGAGGGACTAAGAGATGGTGGCCAGGAGGCCGACTTGCAGTATGTGCCCTTTGGTGGTGTAAATTATTATATATGCCTGAGTGCTAAAAAAAGCTAAAGTGAATAGAGAGAAACAGAAAACACTGGTAACCGATGGTACATGGAGGGGATTATAATCAATGTAATGAAACAAGGTATATGATTTGTTGAATATAAAACTGATGATGTACCCTGTAAACTTTTACTCAATCCACAATAAAAACCTTAAATTAAAAATAAAAATAAACTCCTCCTTCCTAAGGGTAGATTACACTTTCCTGCCTCATTTGACTTGCACTGACCAATGAGACTGTGCAGAAATGACATCTGTCATTCCCAGGCAGAAGAATTAAAACTAGTGAGTGCATGTTGTCCCCTCTCTCTCTCCCTTCCTACATATATTTCTGGCAAGGCTGTTCTGTCAGCCTGCACCCCGAGTGAGAGTGAAGAAGGTATAGAGTAGAACTTCAGCCAACCCACAATGGACATGCAGCAGGAGTGAGGAATAAACCTTTGTTGTGGGAAACCATTGAGATTTGAGGGGTCATTTATTATCACAGCTAAATCTAGCCTCTCCTTAATTGAAACACTGAGCATAAGGAAATGATAGCACTCCAACCCCCACCTCCAAACCTTCATCACCTTGTGCTTAGTCATAGTGCTGAAGTGGTTGTTTCGGAAAAAGACGCTCAGTTCACCCTCCTTGGCAGCTGCTGTCAGTTCACAGAGCCCATGGTAGGTCAGCTGTGCTGCAGTGGTCTCCAGGAACTGCTCTGCTATCAGGCCTGCCAGAAAGGCACAAGATGGGGTGAAAACTGGCTGAAATCCAAGTCCATCACAGAAAGGATCCCCCAGAGCATCTCTGTCAAAAACACTAGGCCTCAGTTCCACCTTCTGAAGTCCCTGCCTTGCAGTCAGCTGTAGCCATTCATTTTGAACACTGCCTTGTGCCAGGCACTGTACTAGGCACTGGGGGTATCCATCAGTAATTTTGTGGAGCCTCCAGCCCAGCAGGACTGAGAGGAGGAAGATAATAAATAACAAACCTTAGTAGCAATCATTCCCTCTGGGTTTTAAAAACAATAATAAAAACTAAACCTGTTAGCAAGAAGTTAATTCCTGATAGGAGTTCTATAGAGTTTTTTTGGCTGTAATCTTTAAGGAAGCAGGTCTTTCTTCTGCACTATTACTGGGTGAGTTTGAACCACCAACGTTTAGCAGTTACAAACTGTTTGTGCCACCCAGGGGCCTCCCTCCACATATAGCAAGGGTGTCAGGGAGGGTCATCACCTTCTGTCACAAGGTTGGTGTCGCTAGAGTGCTTGCAAGTGATGATCTTCTCTACTAGCTGATTGTAACTCAGTTTCCCAACTGCGCTGACGGCCTCAGGACTCTGCAAGGATGGGCATGGTGGGGTAGCACAAAAGAATTGAGATCTTTTTAGGAAGCAAATGCACCAAGTCCACCAGGACTACAACCCTATGATCAAAGTTTCCTGAATTTTTGGTAACTAAAGAACTGACCCTGAGCTGATACAATCTGATGAACTTGACCTATACCTATGGAGCAGCAACTCAAAAGAAGGAACAAATCCTTACAGCAAGAATCATTCCCACCCCCTCCACACACAGAGTGGACAGAGATGGGCAACTTGGACATTGGATACTCAAATGGGGAGTTGGGGACAACAAAGACAAGAAGTGACTGGCTTACAAGCTTTCAAGGGGGAACCTAGTGCTAGGGAGCATGGAGGAAGGCAGAATCTCCAGTGGGTACTATTCAATCTGTCTGGGCAGAGAGGATGAAAGGAAATACAGACGGGTAACTCGTGATACTGTAGTGAATAATGCTTATCAGGACGGATTATGAGGGTTGGAAATGCAAAGGTAGACGTTTTGGAATAAGGAAGGGAGGGATTAATTCTACAGGCTAGGAGGGGAGGTATCTGGGACCATCAACGGAGAAGAACCGAGACGAGAGCGGGACCCTACCCAGAGAAACAGAGATGCCTGAGATGGAGACAGAGACAATGACATGGAGTAATGAAGCAGCTGGGGAATTTGGACCCAGAGAGGGAAAGAGACTGTGGGCCAAAAACTGGGGGGTGGGGGGAGCAGAGAGGGGGAAGTGCAGGGGGCAGGCTTCTAGGATATACCTTTTGGTTGGTTGATGATGCATAGAGGGGACTGGAACCATGGCAATGAGATGATATACGATGGAATGAATGTAAAACTAAAGTTCTCTCATGTAAACTACCATATAATCCACATTAAAACATTAAAAAAAAGCAAATAGAAAAAAAAAAAGCACTGACCCTATTTAGATATGGTTTCCTTGTATTTGAATCTTAAAAAAAAAATATATGAAAAGTCAGGGGATTCTGCATCGGGGCCATCCTCTAAACCCTATTTCCCAGCCAACTCAGTCTAACCCCTCTTGCTGTTGTCGGTAAGTGCTGCTGAGTCAGTTCCAACTCATAGTGATCCTGTATAAGGTTTTCAAGGAGCAGCTGGTGGGTTTGAACCACCGACCTTGCAGTTAGCAATCCAGTGCTTATCCTCCAGCGCCATATCTGGGCTCACGCCATAAAAGCTTGCCTCACTCACGTCAGTTTGAGTAGGAAAAGTGTCTCACTGGGATGTTCCCACCCTCACCTGTGGATCAACGAGCCAGCCATGGTACAGAGGTATGCCCAGGAGGTCAAACACACTGCATTCAGGTGTATACTCAAAATCAGAGACGCCTGTGAATCGCACATTAACATCCAGACCTGTAGCCAGTTTAGGCAGCACTGTCATTGCATCGTCCACATTCTGGGGATAGAAAAGAAAATCATGGATATCCTAGCTTCCCCCCAAGCCACTCCCGCTTCCAGAAATAAAAAACAAATCCTGTTTCTTTTGTTCCCTGGCTCTCTTACAAGCCATTCCACTCCTCCCTTGCCTCATCAACCCTTTATTACACACATGAATATATTTTCTAGGGCAGATAGATATACCCTCCCCTTCCTGCAGAAAGAAATCATGGTTCAAAGAACCCTCTTGAGAAAGCCTTCTCTTAATAGCTCTGGGGGTCCCCTTACAAACCTGCACACCCTGATGTCTCACCTGCTGAAAATTAAGCTGAAGCCCCTCTGACTTCTCCTGAGGCTTGATGGACAGGAGGCAATCTCCTACGAGACAGGATCCCTTCTCAGCTTACCCCACCAACCACCCCCCAAATCATAGTTCTTCTTCTCCTAGAGGACAGGCAACATCACACAACCACAGATAGCTAGAGCTGGAAAGAGTGTGAGAGTCTCATCCAGCCCTCTCCTTTCCCAGAGGAAGAAAAAGACTCATAAAGGTGATGAGTCAAACCAAGGTGCTCTGGATTGAATTGTGTCCCCTGTAAACCTCTAAGTTTCTGGTTATAAATCCATTTGGGAATAATTTGTTTTTGTTATGTCAATGAGGCAGGATGAATGTAGAGTGTTCTTGAGCCAATCTCTTTTGAGGTATAAAAGCGATGAAACAAGAAAGCAAGGAGGGAGGGGAGAAAATAGATACCATGCTATCTACAGACCACCAAAGAGTCAGCAGAGAGGAAGCCCTCCCCTAGAGCCTGTACCCTGAATTCAAACCTCTAGCCTCCTAAACTATGAGAAAGTAAATTAGGTCCTTAGAGCCACTCACTTGTGGTATCTCTGTTACACAGCACTAGATAGAAGCCCCTGCCATATCAGAGGCTCACATGAGGAGTCCCTCAACATTCTGCATTTCTGGCTGAGTGGATAGTTCTGGGACCCCTTAGGTAATTCCTCTTCAAGGCCCAGTCACTCACCAAGATGGGCCATGAGTTCATCTGATGTGATCACTTCCTTCTGAGGGGGCAGCTTTACCTGGAGGCAGAAGGGGTGATCAAAGGGTTAACCATGTGTGTGTCTTCCCTCACAGAACATTCCCTCCCCACAGAAAGCAAGAGCCACAACAGGGTGGGATAGGGAGTGGGAAAAAGCTTACAACTGATACAAAAGGGATGAATGTGAACTCTGCAAGGCAGTCCCACCTTGTTAGAGAGTAGAAGAAACAGGAATAAGAAAGAGAAATTTTTTGTTTTAAGAACATTTAAGAAATAGGGGGAAAAAAATCTAAACACCTTTTACTGGCTTGAGAAAATCAGAATCAAAGCAAGAGGTGGGTCAAGGAAAACACATCTTTCCGAATATTTTCTGACCCCCTATGCAAGCTTTTTCTTACCTTCCACTGAAGAAAGAGGATGTTCATGATAGCAAGGAGAGGGCAAGGGCCATTAGTGCTCTGGGTGATGATGGGTGTCCGCTCTTCCTTCCAAGGGATCCACTTTACACAGTAGAAATCGAGCTCAGGCTGTTGAGCCCTGGGGGACTGTGGAAGCTCCAGGGGCCCAGGGCATGCCTCCACTGTCTCTTCTTTAGTCTGAGTCTCATGGGCTGCTCCCACTTGACTTGAGCTAACTTCAGGTGGAGGGGACTCAAGGTTCTCCTGGCCCTGGGCAGGCAGTGAAACTTGGTCTACAGGTTCCTGTTCTCCAGCTTTGTCATTCGCATCTCCAGCATTCTTTTCTTGGGTGTGTTCCTCTGGTTCCGACAGGACCTCATGATTTTCAGGGGTGACTGCCTCTGTAATTCCAGCCCCATCAGAAGATGGCTGCTTAGGATCATGGTACTCCATGGTGAAGGGAGTCAACTGAGGTACACTAAAGAAGTTTACTGACCTCAGGGACTTGCCTAAGTCAGGCTTGGTATATAAAAGAGGGGGAAATCCAGGAAGAAGGAAAACATTGAGGTGGACAGCAAACAGATCCCAGGAAAATCTTGAGGAAAGTATGCAGTATGGGTGGCTAGATAAGGTCTGTGTTCTCACCCCTGACTATGGGTAGCACATGTCTTCCTCAGCTGAGTAAACAGGAGGGTGCCTGGATGAGCTTTTTCCACCTTTAACCTGCTGTGACCAGATAGGACCTGTGAGGGCACAGACTTGAGAAGGGTGATTGCAATGGAGTCGGCTTTCCTGAAACAGAGAGTAAACAGGGAGTAAGACAGAGGAGAAAGACAGAAGGGAAAGAGATAGAGAAAGAAATATTAAAACTATACTTGTGGTTAGGAGCTCTGATAGCATAGTGGTTACGAATCGGGCTGTGAGCCGCAAGGTCAGCAGTTCGAAACTACCAGCGGTTCCGCGGGAGAAAGATGAGGCGGTCTGCTCCCATAAAGATTTACAGCCTCGGAAACCCTGTACAGGGTCACTATGAGTCAGAACCAACTCCACGGCACATAACAACAGCAACAATACTTATGGTTATTAATTCTGGTGATTATAATACAATGGATTGCTTTCATAAGGCTTTCTCAACTCTGCTCTGGTTTTCTTGTTGTTAAGTGACATCAAGCCAGTCTGACTCCTAGCAACCCTGTATAGGGTTTTCTGAGAGCAGCTGATGGGTTTGAACTGCTAACCTTGACGTTAGCTGTCCAGTGTTTATCCTGAGTCCTGGTGTGGCGCTGTGGGTTAATGCACTGGACTGCAAAGTCAGTTTGAACCTAAGGGTCAGCAGTTCAAGTTCATCAGCCGCTCCTTGGGAACCCTATATAGGGTCGCTATGGGTCGGAATCGACTCGAAGGCAATGTTGTTATAGCTCATCCTATAATAGGCATTATGTCAAGAATTCCCACTACAGCCAGGACGGGGCTAATCTCTCTGTCCTTCACTAAACACCACCCCTTGCCTGCTCACAGAACACCCTGAGCACAGACTCCTCATAACCTGTGTTAACTTCTTTAGTGTTATCCTTCTTCTGTTTTATCCTTGTTCCAAGGGACAAAAATATTAATAACCACATAGTGCTTGGGGGCATAGGGACTGGCTAGATACACCTAACCACATTAATAACAACAGTGTTTGGGGTAAAGGGTAGAGAAACAGAGTCAATATTGTGCCCCAAAGATAAAACACTGATGAGAAAGGAGAAGTCTTTCTCTTCTAAGGATCTAGTAACCCTTACACAATTCCAAACCACAGCACAAAGGTCTTGGGAGGGGCTTCCTGTAGGCTTGAGAGGCGAAATATAGGTTGTGCTATTGTGGTTAGTTGCCTTCCAGCTGGCTAGGGGCTCCAACTCATGGTGACCCTGTGGTTATGGTGGTAACGCCGTCGAGGAGTCACTTCTGACTCACAGTGATCCTACATGGGGTTTCTGAGGTTATAACTCTTTACAGGAGCAGAAAGCCTCATCTTTCTCCTGCAGAGCAGCTGGTAGATTCAAACTGCTGACCTTGCAGTTATCAGGCCAATTCGTAAGCAGCACTCCTTCATGGTGACCCTATTGTGAAAAACAGAATTGTTCCATAGGATCTTCAAGGCTGAGTACTTTTGGACACAGATCACCAGGCTTGTCTCCTCAAAGGCCTCTGGGTGATTTGAGCCACCAAGCTTTCAGCTAGTAGTGGAGCACTTAACCATTTGCATCACCCAAGCTATGGCAATTTGAATCAAGAGACTGATTCTGATAAGTATCAGTATCTCAGATTTGGCATAACAATCGCTTCCCACAAATTACTCCAGAGCGTTCCTCTATAGAGTTGGAATTTACATAGCTACTTCTCAGTTCCAAGACTGCCTCAACCTGAAATGCTTTCTTCCCCACTTGTGGTTAAGTGTCCTCAAGTTGGTTCTAACACATAGCGACCCTGTATAGGGTTTCCAAAGAGCAGTTGGTGGGTTTGACCAGCCAACCTTGCTCTTAGCAGTCCAATGCTTATCTTACAGCGCCACACCAGGACTCCTCTTCCCTAGCTGTTGTTGCTGAGTGCCGTCAAGTCAGTTCCGACCCATAGCGACCCTGTATAGGGTTTCTGAGAAGCAGCTAGTAAGTTTGAACCACCGACCTTGTGGTTCAAACCGACTTTGCAGTCCAGCACATTAACCCACAGTGCCACACCAGGACTCCTTCCCCCAATTTGTTGTTGTTGTTGTGAAGTGCCGTCGAGTTGGTTCCGACTCATAACTACTCTGTATAGGATTTCCAAGGAGCAGCTGGTGAGCTTGAACTGCCGACCTTGCAGTTCAAATGGCTTTGCAGTCTGGTGCATAAACCCACAGCGCCACAGTTACATAAAATATGAAACCGCTGATTTTGATTTGCATAAAAAATATTTTGTCGACATTCATCTACCCATAGGTATATTCTTTATGTCTGTTGCCATCTAGGCCATTTTAGATGCAAACCTGTTCAGCCTGTTCTCTATAATCACTAAGCACCTAATCATGCCCTTAAAGGCATTTAAGTACTGCTGTGGATGGCCAACAATAAAAAGCCACAAACCCTGCTCTCTGGAAAACATCTCTCTTGAATCTCCTTGCTCCCTCCCTCTTACTCAAGGGGAGAAATGAGAAGTTAAGCTTGTTAGATATCCAGCCTTTACTCCCAGCTTCTCTACTATCCTGAGACTATGCTTCTCTCTTGTGAACAGGCAGGAATTTATAGCTAGGGGAAGGCTGGACAGATAAGGTTAAGGAATATAAATGGTAGGCAATAAAGCTAGTCACCCAAATTGATCATCCTCCTGATTCAAATACAATTTATACAGGCTGCGTATACTTTGTTGTTGCTGTTGTTAAGTGCTGCAAAGTCAGTTCCGACTCATAGCAACCCTGTATAGGGTTTCCAAGGAGTGACTGGTGAGCTTGAACTGCCAACCTTGCAGTTCAACTGGCTTTGCAGTGTGGCACATAAACCCAGAGTGCTACGTGTTGCTAATTTACTGCATCTAATTTAGGTGTTTCTAGAATTGGACTCGTAGTGTGGTACTGTCAGATCAGCACTGGACTGCTAACCACAGGTTGGCAGTTCAAAGCCACCAGCTGCTCCTCGGAAACCGTATATGGGGTCACTATGAGTTGGAACTGACTGGACAGCACTTAGCAGCAACAACAACTTAGATTCAGAGTACACAAAAATTGCCTGCATGTTTTACACCTTTCTTTTTTTTACTTCTCTCGCCTGTCTCCCTCCCCTCCCAAATAGCACTTCAGCAAGCAGATTCCAGGGTCTGGGAAAGTTACAAAAGTGTAGAGAAAAACAGGGAACGTTCCTTATCTTTTCTGATCAGCACCAGAAATGATCAATAATTTAATGGGGGTTGGGCAGCTAGATGGCTAGATATCTGAGCCAAAAGAAACCAGAAGCTTGGCACCCAAGGGAGCTGGGTCTTAGAGAGATTGGCTGGAGCTAAGTGGGCTGAGTTTTAGGAGCCATGGCAGGAAATGCAATGGAGAATTTCCACCCTACAAGCTCCTCCTGGTGGGGTGGGCATTAAGGATTTTAAAGTAGGATAGGCCAAGAGGGAGGGTACTCAAACAAACCACTAATTCATTCTTTTCCTCTTCATTCTTAGCTTCTCAAGTTTTACACTTTTTATCCAGCTGAAATTATCCTTTGTGGTGGGTGAGGGAATTAAAATAGCTCCGTCCCTCCCTATCCGCTGGCAGAAAATAGCCAAAAGTGAGGAGGGGAGAAGCATGTGATGGGTGTGTAGCTTCAAAAAGACCCTCCAGCCCTGTACTATCCCACCTAATCTCCTTCTCAGCCTGACCCAAATCCTCCTGCAATCAATGGTTTAAATTTACCCCTCAGAATATGTCAACAACCACCACCACAGGGCTCTGTGTACTTGCTCCTAAGGAAAGGGCGAGGGACTCATTAAAAGGAAGAAATGAAGGTACCAGACAGCACCCCTTTAATCCAGACTTGTAGAAACCAAACCTGGGAGGGGCCATCGGTATCAGCTCCCGGGAGCTGGAGAGGAAGAAGAGCTGGGGGTGGGAGAGGAGGTGAAGAAAACGGTTAACAAAGTTTTACCTTAAAGAAATGGGTGCTGTTCCAGGGCTGGGAAGGAGGGCTCAGATCTGGCCACTCGATGGGGGAGGGGGCAACAATGAGGGACGTCGCCACAGTCCCAGGCGCTTTCCAGCTGTCAACGCCAGAGCCTGCACAGGTTTACAAGCCGCGTCCTGGCTCGGTTGCGGCCGCTTCCGGACTCACGCCCACGCCCGACGGGGGCACTGGCAGAGGGGGGCAGGCAGGGGCGCAGTCCAGGTGTTCCCGGTGGCTCCGAGCGTCTTCAAGATTCCTGAGTCGCCGAGTCTAGGCTTGCGCTTCAGGCCCTGACTAGAAGCTGGTTTTCAAAGGAAGTTTGTGGTTTTTCTTTTTTCTTCTTTCTCTCTCTCTTTTTTTCCATCTGGACAAAGGAAAATCAGTCAAGGACAAGCTTCCTGGAGCAAGGGTGGCCTGCCCAGAACTGGAAGGTTTCCATCAGGGCTTTGTGACCGGGTCAGCAGCTTGGTGATCAGCAGTGAGGAAGAAACAAGGAGAGAAAAACAACAGACCCTTTCTCTTCCCTCCGCCTGTCGCTGGAGGGGACCGAGCACTTGTGCCTCTCTGGTGAGAATAGGGAAGAGCAAGTGCCCTTGCTGAGTCGGGAGGAGCAGGGCTGGACAGCAGCAGTTGATAGGATCTGGGCTCTCTCCCTCCATGTGGCAATCTTTTGCTCTGGATCTACAGAAGCAGGGACAAAGAAAAATATTTTTGCTTATTTATCCATTTGGTGTAAAAAAAACAAAAACAAATTCCCTGCTCCTTTCACTTTGGAGCCTTCAAATGGTTCATTTCCAAATCGTTGCTATATCATCTTTTATACACAAAAAGGAAAGTGGTTGGGCTGTGTCTTCGTTAGATATTACTGCTATAACAGAAATACCCTAAACAGATGGATTTTACAACCGGAAATGTATTCTCTTACAGTTTAAGAGGCTAAAAGTTCAAATTCAGAGCACCAGTTCTGGAAACAAGTCCTTGTTTCTGATCAGCATTTGTAGACCTAGCATTCTTTGGAGATCACCATGTGTTTTTTGTTTTTTTAATTTAAGTTTTTTATCGTGGATTGAGTGAAAGTTTACAGGGCACATCTTCAGTTTCACATTCATAACTTGTTTCATTACATTGATTATAATCCCATCCATATACCATGAGTTAAAAGTATTTCTCTCTATCCACTTTAGCTTTTTAAAAAACACACAAACAAAAAAAACCCACTCAGGCATATATAATAATTTACATCTCCAAAGGGCACATTCTGCAAGTCTGCTCCTGGCCACCTGTTCTTAGTCCTTCTCTTCTTAGTTGATGAATCTAGAGTCCTCAGCTGCACCCCCTCTCCATGCCCCCATCTCTGCCTCCATTTCTGACGCTGCTGCTTCTCTGGATAAGGTCCCGCACTCTGCTTGTGCGCTTCTCTCTTGATGGTCCTAGGGTCCTCTGTTTCTGGACTGTAAGAGTAACCACTCCCCTTTTTTTTTTTTACAAAACTTCTACCTTTACAAGTGTGACAGTCACGATTAGTCATGATAACAGTTATTCACTATTGAATCTCACGAATCTTATCCCCATCTCCTTTCACCAGACCCATCTAGACAAGATGATCCATGTGTTTTGACATCCATCTTTCCCTAGATCTAGGAGCATCACAATACAAGGAACCTAGGTAAAAGAATGCACTCCAATCCCAACTCTTCTTTCTTGGTGGCAGTAGGCCCCTTTCTCTTCTTTTATATTTTAGAAGAGATTGACTGAAAATACAAATTAATCCTGTAGATTGCATCTGGCCTCATTAACAGCATGTGACCCTGTATTGGGTTTCTGATGCTAGTGGATTTGAACCACTAACCTTTCAGTTCAAACTGACCCTGTGCTTGAGAGCTTATCCTACAGCATCACACCATGAAGGTATCCTATTAACATCATTTTATTGTTGTTGTTATGTGCCATGGAGTCAGTTTCGACTCATAGCGACCCTGTACAGGGTTTCCGAGGCTGTAAGTCTTTGCGGAAGCAGAAAGCCTCATCGTTCTCAAATGGAACAGCCGGTAGTTTCGAACTGCTGAGATTAGCCGCCCGATTTGTAACCACTACACTACCAGAGCTCCTTACTAACATCATAGAGGTGAGGATTTACAATATATTGAATAATTACATAATATCAAAGTTGATCACATGAAATTACATCATGGAGGTAATTGCATCATGTTCGAGCTCATCATGGGGGTGATAATTACAGCTGTTAAATCCTGACCCAGCCAAATTGACACAACTCTGTAAACTATCACAATCTGAAACCCTGGTAGTGCAGAAAAGATCCGGAAAAAGCCACAAGATCTGGGAGGACAGTGCAACAGTGAAAAAGCCCTGAGTTGAGCAAGTTGGAGATCCAGCACCCCTATATTCTGGTCCTTGTTCCCACCACAGGCCGCAGCTTCTCATCAGTCACATCCTATTAATTCCCAATTTGGAGAGTTGGAAAAGCTGGTGTGAGGCTGGCAGAAACAAAGGGATGGATTCATAAATGTTGATAATGAGAGTACATTTATATGCAGTACTTTGTACTACTCTGGGGCTAGGAAGATGGCAGTTAAGAGAGTTGGAACCCTGCTCTACATTCTGCAAGGCCCTCCAAACTCCTTAAAGGACTGCTCCTTTCGAGCAACTCTGAAAGCTGGAAGAAAGGTTGGAATTTTTAGGAAGAAGCAAAGAACTAAGGTTACAACTACCCAGAAAAGGAATGATGAAACATTTGTAGAGGCTATGAAAGTAACAGGTGTCAATATTTGTAAAGGAAGAGGCATCAGATGTTAGTAAGAGAGTGTCGGTCCTAAATAAGAGGGCAAAGATTATTTTAATTATTTTTCCGAGCATGAACAATCGCAAAACCAGCGGCAACGGGTTAGTTTGGTAAACGGGAGAATTTGAGACAGGAAAATGAAGACCTGGTCTTGCCATGTATAATTTAAGATGTTAACAAGATGCTTGGTGCAATATATATAATAGAAGGATGAGAAAGAAGCTTCAGAAGACGGGTTACTGTGACACAAACACATTCATGCGTTAAATGATATTACTCAGAAAAATTTCCTTCCCTCAATTTTTGGTAGCGTTTCTGAGCATCCGGACTACGTTTCCCAGGAAACCCTGCGCCACGAGCCATTTCGCGCCTCCCAAACCGTACTAAGAATCTCTGGGCGCAGAATTTAGGTTCCACCGCCTAGGGGCGGGGCGACGTGAGACTATGGGCGTGTCTGATTACGTACTTCCTGCCAGGTCGGGGCCGAATCGCCGTGTGGCGGGTTCGAGTCCCGCCTCCCGACTCTAGACTCTTGGCCCAGAGTCTGGGGCGGGGCTCATTCGCTGGGTAACCTCTCCTCGGTGAGGGGTGGCGGCGCGGCATCGGCTTCGCCATGGAGGACTACCTGCAGGGTTGTCGACCTGCTCTGCAGGTAACTGATCTCTGCCTGTGACTTAAGAATAGAATGTGGGTCCAGGAAGGATGGAGTTGTGGGCTCTGGAGAGCTCCGAGGTCCGTATGGAGGGAACACTGGGTCGTGGGGAGGAGGTTTGGAGTATAATGAGGCTAGGGCCTGAGGAACGAGTATTGGATCAGAGGGGTGAGAATTCTGCTCAGTCTCCTGGTTTTGGACTCCTGCCTTTGGGGTCTGCCCGAAAGCAGGAAGGAGAAGCCATGGGTCTGGATCCTGCATTAGAGCTTCTGTCTTGGTCTCCTCAGTCAATTCCGCTATAGAAACCGGGCTTTGTCGCCGCCAGCCTTGCCTGAGAGGTGTGTTGAGACCCTTTCAGTTATCTGCTTAGGAGGCCTCTGTTGGCCCGAGGGCTTCCAGTGAACCCCAGGAGTACCAAGAGAACTTGTGCCCTTAGCTGTGTTTCCTCGGAGTGGAGGTTTGTCTCTGGTGGGCCGAACGCATTCTCCGTGAGAAGTGGTTATGATGTTTTATTTTTAAGTCTGTGTTTGAGCTAAACATAGTACATTAGGCATATCTGTTGACTCAAAACCTGCATTGCTTTCCCTTCCAGACCTTAACGCATGCAAATTTCATAAAAACCCCTGCGTGGGAAGGGGTAAGCACCAAGTGTGTTTGGAGTCAAAACTATAAGCATGACTCCTGAAAGCTTTGTGGTTTCTTTTTGGTACTCAGCCAGTTGAGCTCACCGTCCATGCTGATACCCCAGTTAGCAAAAACCTAGCCAGGCGGGGCAGGCTTTCTGAAAGCCCTCCTCCCTTATGCTGCCCCAGAAGAAACCTAGACAGGTGGTTGATTATATTTTTCTGTTTATTTGGGTTACCTCTCATTCCACTGTGCTAAATGACCGGATATCCCCATCCTGACCCCAATAATCCAAATGACTAGTCTCTTTTCTACAGTTTGGTAAATAGCTCTTGGACCTGAAACCTCAACAAATAACATTTGTTTGTGTGTATAAGTCCAGAGGTTCCTGGTTAACAATCTGCTGGTGTTTCTAAATGCCATCCAGTTGGTTCCAACACATAGCGACTCTATATAGGGTTTCCAAGGAGCAGCTGGTGAGTTTGAGCCACCGACCTTCTGGTCCAGTGCTTTATCCTGGACAGCGCCACACCAGCCTTTCCAGTACATCAAAAGCAGGCTCTGCAACATGAAAATGAAAAATACTGTGAGTTGCTGGTCTCCTAATCTTTTTCTCCCTATATTAATTCCACAAGGAACAAGATCTAGGTTTTCCTTTTTCCAGACTTGTGAATTTGTGAAGGTTAGATTGTATCCTGGAGTTGCCTCCCTCATACAGTCTAGCCGGGGCCAGGAGAAATGAAAACACTTAACTCTAGATGTGTTCGTGGGTGAACTAGTGGCAGGATTTACAGGTAAACACTAACAATTTAGGTCACTTATAGATATAGACATAGTAGATGTGATGCACATAGTGAAAAACTTTGAATGCAAAGTGGATATAAAGTAGAAAAGAAAAAAGTCAATTTTCCCCCCATCTAATTCCCTAGAGGCTGCCACTATTCAGTTTCTTGTGTAAAGAAAGACATCATTTTGACAGATACCGTTAAACATGAGGGTTTCTGTTAAGCTATATATACTACAGCTTTCAGGGCATCATGAATGGTTGACTTTCACACAGGATAAAGACAGCTAATAATCTAGCAAAATCTATTGATAATCATATTTTAAACATTTGATACCAGAGAAACTTGCAGGTCTCTGGCAGAGTGACAATAGGATTTTTTTTTTTTAATTCTGTTTAATTAAAAAAAGATGTGGTGACTTATCTTGAGAAAGATGAGGCTTTCTACTCCCGTAAAGATTTACACCCTCGGAAACCCTGTACAGGGTCGCTATGGGTCAGGACCGACTCGACGGCACTTAACAACAACAACATAATATAGAAAAATCTTTATGGTGGCGCTGCATTCAAATTTAGATGCTCACCCCGGAGCTTCTGGATAATCTGTGTTTTCTGCATTCCTCAGGCATGAGGCAGGAATCAGGAGTGGCCCACTAGCCTTAGAAAATTGAGGTCCTGGCATTAGTCCCATTTTCTCTGCTGAAATGGTCATAGTCGTTGGCTCCTTGTCTCGTATTTTTCCCCCTTATTCACTATGTTCAAATACTATTCAGCTTCAGAAGGGAAATGGTTTAGTTTGCCAACCCTAGGGACCACCTCTACCATCCCCCCCCGCACTGAAGTCATGGGTAAGAGTCATTTCAAATAGTGAGTATATTGTTGTTGTGTGCTATTGAGTTAGTTCCAACTCATAGTGATCCTGTATAGGGTTTCAGAGAGCAGTTGGTGGGTTTGAACTGTCAACCTTGTGTTTACCAGTTCAGTGTTTATCCTATAGTGCCACACCAGGGCTCAGTGTGTGTGTGTGTGAATATATATATATATATATATATTTTTTTTTTTTTTTCCTAAAGAAAAGTTTTATATTTACTTGTGGCTCTCAGATTGTATTTCTAACATCTGCAGCTCAGGTTTCCTCATGCAGCTAAGTATAGGTATATTTGCTCTGAACTCTTCCTCAGATGGTAAGAAAGCAGGCCATTTGTCTTGTGCTTTCAGCTGGGGGGATGGGATGGGGACTAAGAGTTACATGTGTTTTTCCTAAATGAAGAAGAGAATAGTACTTTATAAGTTAGACAAGCATACCCTTGGCTTGCCTGAGATGTTGTTGTTTGTTGTTAGATGCCATCAAGTGGGTACCAACCCATAGCGACCTTATGCACAGCAGAAGGAAACACTGCCCTATCCTGGGCCAACCTCACTATTGTTGGTTTATTCCATTATAATCATTAATAGCATTCCCTTTTACTCTCAGAAGTGTCCCAGTTTGAAAGACAGATATGTAATCACCTAACTCAAAAGCCATCTTATGGATTTGGTTGTTGTTGTTGTTGTTGTTAAGTTCCCTCAAAGTAGTACTGACTCATAGCAACCTTGTGTAGGGTTTCTAAGGAGTGACTGGTAGGTTTGAACCACCAACCTTGTGGTTACCTGGCCAATGCTTATCCTACAGCACTATATCAGGACTCATACAAGTCCATAAAAAGATAATGAGCTCCTCAAGGTAGAAGGTAAGTTCCACACGACAGCTACAAGTGGTGGAAGCTAGAGAATCGAGGCAGAAAATTGCTCTGGCCTGGGTGGTCGGAGAAGGCTTCACAAAGAAAGGGGATTTAGGTAGAGCTTGAATGGACAGAAGGAGTGGTGCAGTGGTTAAATTGGGTGACTGCTAACTAAAAGGTCAGTGGTTTGAATCCAGTGGGTCTGCCACTCTGGGGGAGAAAGATAAGGCAGTCTGCATCCGTAAAGATTACAGCCTTAGAAAAGCCTTAGAGGCAGTTTGACTTTGCCCTGCAAGGTCACTTTGAGTCAGCATTGATGTAAAGGCAGTGAGTCTATTTGCGTTTGTTTGCTTTCAGAAGGGGAGGAAAAAGGGAGGATTTGAATAAACAGAGGGGTAGAAAAAAGAGAAGACATTATATATAGACACTTAGGTGCTGTTTCATTTCATTCTCATTACTCCCTAAAATTGGTTATGGTATTATCCTCATTTTTATATGAGGAAAGCGAGGCTTAGGAAGGCCTAAGTCCTACAACAAAGAGGAAGCAGAGCTGGAATTCAACCCCAAAGTTTGATCTTTTCAAATAGTGCCTCTGCTGCCTTCAGGAAGGGAATACCAAAGGTCAGAGCTGGGAATGTGCACATCATGTTTTGGGGGTGGTGAATACACCATTCAGGCTGGGTGAATGGTGGGTGCTGACCAGGGAAAGGAATGTCACCACCTCTCTTGATTATCCCTATTCTAAAACTTGCTAGGAGTCCCTTTTGTATTGCTTCCTTAGGGTGACTGTGCTTTGCTGAATTCAAGGGGAAAGCTAGTTGTTCACCTTTCTTTAGAGATTATTTCTCCTCACCTCAGAGCTGTGATGCTGTATTTGGTGCCTACTTTCTGCTTAGTCTTCCCTTGATCTTAGACATCTGAAGCTGATCCAGATTCATCTGCTACTTGGAATAAAGCATCACTAACCTAAAGGCAAGGAGCTCTGGTAGTGTAGTGTTATAAATTGGGTTGGTAACCTCAGGCTCATTAGTTCGAAACTACCAGCTGTTCCGCGGGAGAAAGATGAGGCTTTCTGCTCCTGTAAAGATTTACAGCCTCGGAAACCCTGTACAGGGTCGCTATGAGTTGGAACCAACTCCAAGGCACATAACAATAACAACCTAAAGATGGGAGCCCTGGTGTGGCGCTGTGGGTTAATGCACCAGACTGCAAAGCCGTTTGAACTGCAAGGTTGGCAATTCAAGCTCACCAGCTGCTCCTTGGAAACCCTATATAGGGTTGTTATGGGTCGGAACTGACTCGATGGCATATCACAACAACAACAACCTAAGTGGAGGAGTCCTGATGTGCTGTGGGTTAATGCGCTGGATTGCAAGGTAGGTTTGAACTGCAAGGTCGGCAATTCAAGCTCACCATTCACTCCTCAGAAACCCTGTACAGGGTTGCTATGGGTCAGAACCAACTCTACGGCACTTAACAGCAACACAATCTAAATGAGTTTGGAAAGGTTCTCTGAGGACCTGTTTGTGCCCAGCAATAGATCTCTTTCCCTTGCTCTGCCTTTCATCTCACCTTCCTCCAGAGCCAGGGCCATATGGCCTCTTGTGTTTATATAGTTATTTCTTTAGAGAACATAGTGCCCCACCATAATGCCTCAGGGAGCAAGTTATCTCTGCAGCCACTTATCTCAAGTGCTCTACTGGTTAGCAGGTCCACAGCCATCTGGGCAGTCTCCGTATCCAGGAAACAGAAAGGGCCTTCTCTGCTATGGAGAGGAGGAATTGCAAGTGAGAGGGGTTAGTTACCACAGGACTGGGGTCTTGGGTAACCTATTATGTGGGAAAGAATGTAATGTTGCAAAATAATCTCCC